CTTGCTGCGACGGCTGCGCCTTTTATCTGCTTTAATCTACTTGCTTGTTTATGAATTGGTTCCTCTCCTCCAAACCTCTAAATATTAGAGTGAAAACAGCCAGAAAGCCTGCAAATCTTAGGGGGGGAAAAAAAAAAAAAAAAAAGTCCAGAGAAATGGGTTTTCAAATGAATTCTGTTTCAAAACCTCCCTGTGATGCTGCAGAGATTAGGAGCAACCCCAGCCCCCTCCCAAACCCATTAACCTAAAGGCCAAGTTTTAATCCTTTTGTGGCCGGGTTTTGGATCAGACTGAGGCCAGCAATGATAGGATTTTGGTGGCTGCCCCGAGCGCCCCGGGGGCAGGAGGGTGACAGTGTCTAACTCTGCCCTTCTCCCTCCTCACACCCCTTTTTTCGAAGCTGCTAAATGAACTTAAAAATAAACCAAATAGAGGGACGAGCCAAGGCATGGGGAAAACTGGAAAGTGTGTTTGTTTTGGAGAAATTCAGCAGAAGACCGCGTCGTGGCAGGGCCGTAAGCTCCGCGGCAGGGCGGGTGCTGGGGACGGGGCGCAGCGCAGGCGGGTGCTGAGGGAGAGGAGGGTGTTTCTGTTTATGCCGTGGTTTGCCTCGAAAGGCTGGTTTCGTACCATAAACGAGTTGTCGCTGCGGCTCGCTGAAGTGCAGGTGCCTCTCGGGCCTCCCGGGGTTTGGGATGGGGCTAAGTCAGGTTCACCGCTTTGAATTTAGGCCAAGTCCTCCGTGGTCAGGAGGTCCCAGCATCCGGCACCGTTCCTGGAGGCATGCACCGCCTGCCACTCTCCGTGCTGTGTGTTTTTCTCCTCGTTATTTCTATTTTCCTATTTTACACTGCTTTCCCTTCCGACGCCAAACACTTTGCTCAGGGCTCCGTGTTTCTCCTACGGTTTGACAAGAAAAAATGTCAGCTCGTGCACATTGGGGTGACGTTTTGTGAGGTCCTGAGCTCGCACAGAATGGAAGGCCAGCGTGCAAATCCCGGCCTTAACGCAGAAATAAAGGTTTTATTCTGATGTGTGCATTAGCAGTGCTTTACTGGCCTGCAGCCTTAGCCAGTGTTCGAATTTGCTTTGTAAATGCATATTTTCAGCGTTGCCTGACAGGTCCACCTTAGCGTGGAGCAGAACAGGACTCTTCAGGCTGTTGCCAGCGTCCTTGGTGTTTCTTTGCCACCACTATGCGAGTGGGTAACATGTCTAGGTGTACATCATCTCTTTGGGCTGATGTTTTAATGCGCCTTTAAAAGTGAAGAAGTGTCCCCCCCCTCACCCCGTGCCCATGCCTAAGGCGGGAGCCTCCAAACAGGCAGTTGCCCGTGGGAACGGGGTTTGGCTCCGTGCGCTGGCATCAGTCACGGTCTGAGCTATCTGCTGGCGGGTGGGTCGCTCTGGAGATGGTACCGGGCTTTACATGTGCGAAGAAAAATAAAAAGAAAAAAAAAAATCTCATGTGAAAAATGAGATTTTGCTTTGAAATAATTTCTGAGGCGGGTCGGGGTTTTCTTTATGGTTTTGTAGGCTTTTGTGGCGTGTCGAAATACCGGACTGTCATCATCTTTTTCACTGAAGTGAATACAAATTCTCATGGCAGAATATAAGCCCAAGAGACGGGCCTTGGAGAAACCCTTAAATGCCACAAAACCCACCACGGAGCTCTGAAGAGCTGTTGGCCCGGCCTCTCGCCCGTGGCTGCTGCGCTGAAGGGATGCCACGTCGCGGTACAGCGGAGGAACCTCCGTTCGTGTGGCCCAGTGCATCCCAAACCACTTAGGATGAAACAAAATAAAGCCTGTGTTATAGAGAGCTGAGGCTGAAGGCCTTCTTGTTTGAGATTAAAAAAAAAAAAACAAACTCTGTGAAGTGGGTGTAAAGCATTTGGTGTGCTGAAGCTCGGGGAAGCATGCTCAGAAGGAGGGCATGGTCCATCTCATCCCTAAATTTGCAGGGATTTCTTGTCCTGCCTGCTCTGTGCTGCTGAAAAGGTGCTGTGCTCTGAAGGGACTCTTCGGAACAGATTTATCCCAACCTTTACAATAAAATAAACGTTTTCTGAGATAGTTCTGGCAGCTTGAGATCACCTGGATGCCCTGGCCTGAGTACTGCGTGGCCGCAAACACCGGTTTGGCCGGGAAGGTGCTTTTGTTGAACTTCACTGGGAATTTTGGGGTTTTATCTACTAACTCGGTAACCGGTGATGTGTGGGAGCCCCACAGAAAACAGGGTGGTGTTTTCCTCCCCCGATGGAATATGCCCCAGCAGCGTTGAGGGGTTTTCCATTGACTCAAGCAAGCGTTATGTGTGCACGGTGGAGTTAAATTTAGGTGCTTGCTTGTCCGTAAGCAATCGGTGCATGTTTAAAGCACATAAAACTTGATGTGTCCTATTTCTCTGCCTGGCTTAAGGATGACTTTAGGGCCCCTCAGGTGCTGAGCCTGTGGCCGTGTGCTCCTGCCGTAGGGCCACCTCAGCTGACCTGCTCCGTATACACCCGTTCTGAGCCCTATTTTCATGCTATAAAAACAAAAGCAGGCCGAGGTGGCCGTGGCTACCTCTCCCCGGTGCCAGCGTTGCCGTGGGCTGCTGGAGGAGCCGTGGCAGCTGTAGCCATGGAGGCCAGTTTCCTTCTTGACGTGTGAGGAGTCCTTGGCTAGCAATGCCAATGTGGAGTGTACCCGACAGCGTAGCCCCCACCATTGATTTTTTGTTCTTTTGTTTAAACCCTCTACGTACAATAAATGTTTGAAGCAGAGGCCGGTTGCGGGAGGGACGGTCCTGGGGGTTTGTCGGGCACTCCGGTGCTGCCTGTCTGCCCGCGGAGGCCTTTTGCATCAGGTGAGGAAGGGGCTGAATACCAAAGGGTTTGGTCCCTGCGCTGAGACAACCCCAACACTCATTTGTCATGTGGTTTTGATATCCAGAGTTTACTTGGGCCTTTTCTCTGTAGTGGGGAGATGTGCCTGCCAGGAGTGCAGGGTTGGGTCTAGTCCTGGCCACCCAGATTTGCCTCCAGCAATGCTTAGAGGTGTGCAGAGGCTCCCAGCTGTGCCTCTTCTGGTTTTGGTTTTTTTTTTCCTGTTGCCTTGAAGTGGGGTTTTCACTGGAGGCTGAGACCAGCTTTGGGGAGGCCAGTCCTGGAGCTCAGAGGGCAGGGCAGAGGTGAGCTGGCCTGAAAGCTGGGATGGGGGATAAAACATTTTTTATAAAATGTGAATGAAAAGCGCTAAAAATATTTCCAGTAAGCTGTGTTGCTTCCTACCCTTAGGAGTGACTTGATGCCAGTTTGCAGAGGGGTGGCTTGCACATAGCCAGTATCCCTCACGCAGCATCCTCCCCCCTCCACGAGTTGGGTACCACGGGCACAGCAGGACCGGGCTGGGGCTCCCTGTCTCAGCCAGGGAGGATGTTGGGGGCCATCCCCCTCCGATGGGCCAAACTGGGAGAGAAGCACGTGGCAAAGTGCAGGCTCAGCCCTCAGCCCAGTGCTCCTGGCCACCACATCCTTCCTCGCGGGCTGTGGGATTATATTTTGTTTCAGATTGAATTGTGTCAGGATCCGTCCCCACGGCTGGGAGAGGAAGTCAATTGAGCGACAGCAGGAAAGGACACAATGAGTCAGCAGTGGAGGGGAACTAAAGATAATGAAGTATCCAGAGAACGACTTTGTTTCGTTTGGGAATTACAGTTACGAAGAAGTGTCCTGGGACACGAATGGAATTAAACAATCCTGTTTATGATTCCTGTTTTGTTTCTGAAACTTTAGAGTAGACTAATGTCATGATGCATAATTTGTATGTTGTTAGAGCTGGTAATCGAGCTAGACTCTGCATTTTGGGTGAAATGATGTCAGCGTGACTTGGATTTAAACACGTAAACTTTGTTGGGCTTTTAAAATAATTCCTCTAGCATGCAGCCTATGCAGAACTCTGTGGCAGGTGCGCCCCGATTCGAGGATCGCTGAGAAACTGTGGCGTAAATCCCATCTTTCTGAGGATTCCCTGTAGCAATGCCTGCCTCAAGGTGCCATCCCAGCCTCTCGCTGCCCACCCACAGCTGATCCGGAGCGACCGTTGTGCCCCGCGATGGGTGTGATGCTGCTGGGATCTCGGCAAGGGCTGAGCAGGATTTGTGTGGGGTTGGAGGACAGCGCCTGCGTTGCGAAGCCTGGATCTGCTGGAGCTGTAAGCAGTGAAGGTTTGGGGGCTACAGAGCCCCCCTGGGAGCTCGAACACCCCGAGCAGGGACCAGGGCCCTGCGAGCCCCCAGGACGGATGGCAGGTTAAGGCTGGACACCTTTTTGAGCTCTGTTGGTTAATTCCTAGAAACTTTTTTTCTGCACCTGAAAAAGCTGGTTTAGCCAAGAAATAGCTCCCTGGGGTCCTTCCTGGTGTTTTTTTGTGTAAGGAGTGAAAACAAGACTTCATTTTGTGGTTGTCATTGCCCATCCTGTGCGAGAGCTGAGGACGGCTCCGGCTCTCCCCGGGTTCAGTGCCCCGGCGGTGGGATTCAGCTTCTCCGATCGCTGGGATTTCATTAGGATAACTTCCACGCTGAAAACCCCGGGAGAAAGCCCCTTCCTCCTGCCGTGACTACGCTGCCTGGCTTGGATTTTGACATCAGACACCGGGTTTTTTCCTGCCCTTGTGTAGCCGGCGAGGGCTCGGGGCTATTTTTATCCGGCGCTGGCAGTGGCTGGAGGAGGACGCGGCTTCCCTGGCCCGCACAGCCCTCGCCTCTCTCCCATCAGCTGGCCGAGGCTCCGGCGCTGCCGTTGACTTTATTAGGGAAAAGCAAGGTGCTCCGGAGCGGCTGGGAGGCGAGGGGGGCCGGGGAAGCATCCCGGCCGTGGGACGGTGGGCTGGCACAGGGCTTGGCCCCGGGAGTGAGCGCTCGATCCCATGGTGCCGATGGAAGAGCGGAGGAAGGACTGAGATGCCCCGGCGGGAGCGTTTCACCGGCCACGTGAGGACCCGGGAGCGAAGGAGATGAGTCGGGAGGGTGATGGCATGGGTGATGTCATCAGGAAAGCAGCCCCGCCGGCCGGGGAGGGGAGTTATAAAAAGGTAAGGGACAAAAAGGAGCCTTTGTCTGCCAACAGTCGCTCTCTTGGCAGGAGGGGGACCCGCCGAAACGCTGCCCAACACCCTCCCAGGGTGCTGGGTTTCGGGTGCCGGAGCGGGGAAGTGCTCAGCGGTGTTTAACATGCCGGCACAGGGCAGCAAACCTTCCTCCCCCTGTGTTTCCATATCGCTTTATGATAAAGAAAACGTAGATGTTTCCAAATGTGTCCCCGTACCTCGAGACCCCCGAGTTTTAAGGCAATTTGCCATGTGGCTTGAGATTCACACGTTTGACCTGGTTTTGTGTTTACTGGCAAATCCCCGGCGAACAAAAAGGAGATAAAACCAAAATGTTCTGCATTACAATTTCTGTTTGTAAATCCAGGAATAGTCTTTGCGCTTCACAGAGATAAAATGAGGTGCTGTCTGTGGGTCTTTAAATATAGTAATTGTCCATAGCTGGTAATGACAGACCCTGGCAAAAATAGCCTGGGTGGCCTGGCCGTGTCCCAGAGCTCCTGGCCGGGGCCAGGCCCGGGCTGTCACCCTGTTCGGTGCCGGTGGATCACCCTGGCACCCCTTATTCTGTAATTGTCTGGGTAATTGGACTTTTCCCTCTCCAAACACGCAGCGCCTTAGCAAAGCACACCGGGTGTTCGATCGGGGTTTGGTACCAGCGGGGCAACTGCAGCAGCGCTGTCACTGGTCATGAGTAGGACCCAAGGTGGGGGGGTCTTGGAGCACGATGAAGAGCCTGGCAAAGCACTGCTACACCTCAACGCCAAAGAAATCTCCCACGCGCAGTTTTACGTGCTGTTTCGGGTGATGTCTGTGATGAGTAAAGGCTGCTGGTACAGGTGCCTGCATGCTAAACGGTGTGGAGTGTATGAAAAGAGCAGTCCAGCTACTGCTGCTTCAGGGACATAAATAACACAGTGTGGACTTTGCTCAGTTTCCCAGAAAACTGCAGAAATCTTGTGCCCACGGCCGTGGGGATCCGCTCTCCATCCCGCATCGGGTCAGTCAGGGACAGCCCCTGGCATCAGCAGTCCCCCCGCGTGCCCCCAGGGATGGGCAGAAGGCGTATATTGGATAAATTCAGGCTCTCGATCAAAACTGTGGGGGTTTGGGGGGATGGACTCGGTGCTGGCACGTGTCGGAGGCGGGTGGTGAGGAGCACAAATGGTTGTGTGCAATCTGCAACTGCCGGAGAGGGGCTTGCAGTAGATTTATAAACAGCAATAATTGCAGCAGGCGGTGGGGCTGGGGGGCCGTGCTGAGTCCGCCGTGGGGAAAGGCTGAACCTCTCCTGGCAGTTTGCCTTTACTGGAAGGGTTGTGTGAAGTGTTGTACATGTAGGCAGTCACACGGCCATAATGTGACGTTGTGTTTTTATTCATGTACTTAAACAAAGGTAGCCACCGACCTTTCGAATTGGAAGGTCAACGGTAAGAATGGAAAACATCCGCCCCAAACCGTTTCGCCTTAAAAATAAAAAGCAGCCTTTTGTTTAAAATAATTGTCTGAACCAGACGTCAGCTCTACGCCAGACCCCTCTTTCACAAATACAGACCTTTTTTGATTCGGTGTCAAAATACACATTTAAATAACACGGGGTTATGTTTTTCTTGCTCTAGTGCCTTTGCATTTTGAGGTTTTGATCCGCTATTTTTTATATACCAAATAAGTATATTTGATAGTCAGAAAAAAAAACCACTTGCAGTTTTCCTTCTTAATTTATAGTTTTCGATGCCCAACTCAGGATGTATACTCCAGCTGTTGGGTAATTCATCTAAAGCCTAAAGTCCAGTTCCCTGAGGTATATTCTATTTCTTAGTAACTGTTCCCTATTTTATGATAACAAATAGGACTCCTGGTTTCTTTACGGTCATTAGCCTGTGTCTGGGTTATAAAATGGGATATTCTGAGCTCAGTCCTGGGAGCAATGTTATTAGTATCCTCAGTAATGACCTGCTGGAGAAAACAAATTGCACGTTGATTAAACGTACAGATGTCAAAGTGGGAGCAGTTGCGTCTCGGTGGGAAATGGAGAAAAAAAATTTTAAAAAAAAAGATCTGGAGAGACAGCCCCATCTGAAGGGGGTAAATATGTGAAAGCGTGTCTGTATTTATGTGTATTTTAATGCAAAGAAGAAGAGTAGTTTTCAGCACACACAGGGTAGGTGCTGCTGGGGGAGGGAGCGGTCCCAGCTGGCGTGGAGGCTGGGATGTGGCGTCCCAGCTGGGCAGGAGGAGGTGGAGATGTGCTTTGGGCTCCTGATTTCTGTTGGAACACAAGGAAAATCAGAAGGAGATGGGAAGATGTGGGAGAGGATCATCTGAGTCGGAAAAACAGGGAGGCTGAATATCCATGACTTCGTGAAATATTGATGCGCTGAGGGATGCAGCTGACACAGGGGAGACACCCACATGCGTCATGAGATGGGCAGCAGGAGGAACCAGCACGGGCAGCCCTCTCTCTGCTTTCAGTCCGCTAAAAAAATATTTCTCACTCTTTTTTTACTTAGGTTTTTGGTTTTTTTCCACTGTGCTCCCTTCACCGACAGGGCTGGCTATTTCTTCTTTTAAGATCGAGGCATCAATTACTGAAACCTGAAAAAAACAAAGGAAAAAAAAAAAAACATAGCTGGGCAGTCTGCGTAGAACTTTGGGAGCTGAACCCAAAAATTCGATACTGCTTAATGCCATGGGGGTTATTTTTAATATTTGAAATATTTTACATAAAAGGAGTTGGGTTAGAAATGTATTTTGGTAAGGGATTGACAACATAATGGGCAGGGTGATAACGTACGTAGTCAGCACTGGAGTTGGAATTAAAGTATTAGCAATTTTACATTCATAATTTGCATTTTGTTGTATCTTACTTCCTTGTATCAAAAAAAGGTGCTTTATTTTTACTTAGGTGAAATATGGGAAGCACAATTATATTAATTAACACCGTGAAAGCAGCCCGTGCTTGCCTGCTATGTTTTCTTTTGTTGTGTGTTCTTGATTGGGCATTATGTGTTATTTTAAAATGAAATGTTTGAGGGCTTCAAAAACGTTCCTTCTATCAATAACTTGTCGCCTTGTATGAATTTGTTGTCAGCGTTGGCACATAATCCATTAGTGACAGACACGGGGATAGTACGGGTACTAATTTTGAATCTAGATCTGTGATTTTCATTTATTGCACATGGATTACACAGTCATATCCGTGATCATTAATTTCAAGTCATTTTGTAGTTTGCTCTTATTCGAGGAAAAAAAAAAAAATGTTTGAAAACTGGATAATTTGATGGAAATGGTTAAAAATAAATCTAAGCATGTTGGCAGAAGATGGATTGTGCGGTTTTGGAGGCTGCTTAGGGAAGTGGAAGATGCTCGTGGTGCAAGCATGGCCTCCGTGTCTGTATATGGATCTAGGTACAGATATCAGTGTATATGTTACGTATTATGGGATATATAGATAAATATTGATCAGTATGTGGAGAGAGACGTGCAGGTGGGCTTCTCTGTTGGGATGGGCTGTGTGGTCCGCCCAAACATGGGACACAACTTGGGGGCTGCTGGTCATCATGAGCGTGGTGGTGGGGCTGGTGGGACAACTCGCCTTCCTGCCCGCCGACGTGACCAGCAGCTTCGTCCTTTCTTATCGCCCTTCTAGGCCCAGAAGAATGAGCGGGAGTCCATCAGGCAGAAGTTGGCTCTGGGCAGTTTCTTCGACGATGGCCCTGGACTTTACACCAGCTGCAGCAAGAGCGGCAAGCCGAGCCTCTCCTCCCGGTAAGCCAGCTGGCCTCACAGGCCAAAACCTCCTTGGAAAGAGTGTGAGATGCTCCCAGCAGGATGTCCTGAGACCTGCCCTTTGGAGGATCCCTCGGTTTTTGCTTGCAACAATATTGTTGATTTTTCCTTGTTTTAGAACAACGTCTTCTGCTCCAAGTGCAATAGTTGTACGTTCCGTAAATAGTTGTAAAGTATGTGCTAAAATATTAGTTTAAAACTGTGTAGAAGAGATATTTGGGTGCTCAGGGGATAAAGCAAATGAGCTGAAGCTTCCTGAGTTAGGTTTCCATCAAGTTTTAATTTAGGATCTCTGCCCTGAACTGAGCGTTGCCTTTGAACTTGGGCAGATCAAAACGGTGGCGGAAGTACCGCGGATGCACAAAAAAGTGGAAAATAGTGGATTAAGTCTGGATTTTTTTCCAAGGAGTTCTTTATGTTGAGTTGCCAAATACTGAGGATTTTAATGTCTGAATACCTGGTTTAATGCCAGATACGCGTGTTGGAAGCAGGGCAAGGCTTAAGGACGGTCCCGTGGTCCCACCAGTCCTGCGTCAGGCAGCGTGGTGACGGGTGGTGATAAACCATGACTTTGGGAAAGCACATCTTCCTTCGGTGGCGCGGGAGGTGGCAGCCCATTAGAAACAGATCTGATGCTGGTAGCCAGCCCTGGTGGCAGCAGGGCAGTGGAGGGCAATTAATCTCACGCACGGAAAGCACCAAAGAATGGAAAAAATGAGCTTTAACGTGGCTCCCTGCCTACCCCACCACGTCCACATGCTCCGTGCAGGCTCTGCTTGCTAGACGCGGCTCCATCCCTGGGACTGGCACACTGGGTAGCGTGGATAACTCACTTATTCTGATTTTTAACATTTCCACCTCAACTATACTCCAGAAAGGCTTGTTTATATTCAGCTGCCAGGGAGTAACCCATGGCACTTGGGAAGCATTGAACACCTCCCACATTGGGAGCGAAGATCTACCTGTTGCCATGGTGTGGGAGAGGAAGAAAAAAAAAATAAAAAAAAATCCTAGAGAGACGTAAAGCCAGGAGGAATACTGTTATTGCACCGGAGAGGTACAATTGCGAAATTAAATTGAACTGCGAGTCATTTGAAAGGGAAAACAGTTTTGCTGTGTGTAGTTACAGCTAAACCAGGAGCCGCTATCTCGTAATTACAGCACGGGTCTAATTAACGCTGCGCGGCAGGGTTTGGCAGCTGTGCCACCAGAAATTACCAGCTGTACCTGAGCGCTTGGGCGTTTCGTTAATATTTATAGTCCAGGCAAAGCATTAGTGTTGCACGCTGCCTGTTTCAGGAGCTACAGGAACCTTTGCAGGACCGTTGCTCTCGTGGTTGTGTATGAAAGACAAGAGGACAAAGCGCTGGGTTTCAGGCGTTGGGGTCGTGCTCTTGAAAGGCACGTGAGTCACGCACCCCTGTTTTTGCTCTCGTTCTGCCCTTTTTTGCGTGATGTAATTTAAAGGCAAGGGTGCACCCTTGCTCCCCGACCTGGGTACCCGTGGCTGTCCACCATGGCTTGGAAGTTTGTGCAGAATTATAGAATAAAATCATGGAGTGGTTTGGATTGGAAGAGGCCTTTAAAGGGGCGTCTAGTGCAACCTTCCTGCAGTGAGCAGGGACATCTTCAGCTAGGTCAGGTTGCTCAGAGCCCCGTCCAACTTGACCTTGAATGTTTTCAGGGATGGGGCATCCACTACCTCTCTGGACAACCTGTGCCAGTGATTCACCACCCTCATCTTTCAGTTATTAATGTGATCTATTTTGTGGTAATAGTGACTAAGAAATTCCACTAAAATAAATGGAAAATAAGAGTTTGCTGTCTGTAAGTACTGATATAAGGCCCCCCATGGAGAAAGAGCACTAACAGGCAGCAAGAAGGTGTCAGGGGGTTTGCCCCATCTTCAGCAGGTGGTGATGGAGTATGATGCACCGAGAAGGCTGACGGAGTTGACCCCAGAAATCTCTAGTTCGCAGGGTGAATTTTTAATTAATTTGGAAGATGTGCAAAGCCTGAGCAGGTTTTGTAGGAGGCGAACAGGCCTGAGCCTGGTGTCCGTTGGGTGAATTGTCCTGGAGAGCCCAGGGTGCATGAGCTCAGCTGGCGACTGCAGAGCATCAGTGGGGGCTTTCACAGACACCTTCTCATCCAAAAAAATCTGCTCCCTTGGTTGCTTGCCGAGGCTGATCTGTGCAGAGTGAGCCATGGGGTCCACCTGGAAATTGGTGGGCCACGCTCTTCTGGGGACATCAGCCCACACCAGTGAAACGTGTTCTTCATCTGTCCACACTGGGCGATGGTGCAGGGGGTCCAGAAAACACAGTAATGATCTCTTGCTGTGCAGTAGTGCCTCTTGGCCACAAACAGGCTTATTGCCCTTCTGAATAAGTAGTTTCAATTGTTAACACATTATTTTATATAATATAATCATGTTTTTATTATTGATGTGTAAAATATTTTTCTATTAATATATTTACTATATTTTACACACATTTTATATATAACATTTTATTTAATATAATAATATAGCCACCTGTGGTGACAAAAGCTCTTCAGCATCTTGGTAATTCTGAAGTTCATCAATAGATGGTGGTAGAAGCTTTGCTGTCACCGTGGTGCTGAGTTTCCAGTCCAGCGTTGAGCTGTCGCTCAGAAAAGGCAGCAGGAGCTTGCCCGTGCCCTGCTGCTGCGAGCCGGTGGTCCTGGCTCTGCTTTTGGGTGGGGGGTGACCATCTTGGGGAAAAAAAAGTGAGAATTTTTATATTTTCCTGAGGCTACCGCAGCATCAGGGCACCAGCATCCTTTCAAAACGCGAGCGACTCGCTGCCGACGGCGCTGCAGCGTCTCACCCGCGTGCCCCGTCGGCGCGGCGGGGAGAGGGGGCTGCGGCGTCACCTCCTGCCGTCGCCCCCACAGATTACAAAGTGGGATGAACCTGCAGATTTGCTTTGTGAACGACAGTGGCAGCGACAAGGACAGCGATGCCGATGACAGCAAGACAGAAACCAGCCTGGACACGCCATTGTCGCCCATGGTAGGTCCGGGAACCCGTCCCGTAGAGGCTTTGGGTGTGGAAATCGTAGGGCATCCCTGAGGGAAGCTGATAAACAGTTGATCCTTATCAAATAGCAATGCTGAACCCCAGAGAAGCATCTTCAGCCATCAAGAAACGAAACGTGAGATGTGGAGGGGCAGATAGGGAATGCCTCTGGCTCTCACGGAGCTGCTATGGAGCAGATGCCTTCACGAGAAGGTGTTCCTTCTTCCTTCCTTCCTTCCTTCCTCCCTTTCTTTTCGGCTCTGATAAGTATCAGGGTAGTAAAGGATACAAAGTGGTATCAGCTCCCGGCAGCCTTCCTCTCCTCTCTTTTCCTTTGTGAATATAACACCACAGCCCCAGATGTTTTCTTCCAGCTTAACCAGTCTGTCCCTTCAACACCTATTGGTCTGGTCGGCTCCTCTTTCCATTTAAAGTGCTCGGGGGGGTGTGTGTGTGTGTCTGTGTCTGTGTGTCTATCTGGAAATTACTCTGATTTTTAAATATAATCTTGTGTGTTAAAATAAAAAAAATCTGTGCTCTTCACTGTTTCCGTAGAAATGGTACGGCTTGTAAGTGTGCAAAAATATGTTAAGCCAACAGCAAACGTCTTTGGTGGGGGGACGGGGCTGTAACAGCTGTGTGTCTGCTTCCCTAGAGCAAGCAGAGTTCATCCTACTCCGACAGAGACACGACGGAGGAAGAGTCAGAGTCCCTTGACGACATGGATTTCCTCACCAGGCAAAAGAAACTCCAAGCTGAAGCCAAAATGGCCTTGGCTATGGCGAAGCCCATGGCCAAAATGCAGGTCGAGGTGGAAAAGCAGAACAGGAAGAAATCGCCGGTAGCGGATCTTGTAAGTGGGGGCCGCGGGATGGCCTGGGGGATGACACCAGCCCTTTTGCTCTTTGCTTTTGCTTCTTGAGACATGCACACCGGCCAGCAGTGCTTGTAGACACACAGAGGAGCAGCGGAGATAGGAACAGGCTGGCAAGAGTTGAAGGGTCAACGTGTGTCATCTTACCAAGCCATTACGGGAGCGGGATGGATGCAGGGAATGAGATGGTGAAACGTCAAGGTTGTTGAGGCTGGCATGACGCTGCTCATCCTCTGAGGTGTAGCCATCCCATCCCATCCCATCCCATCCCAGAGCAATCCCAACTTGGTACAACACCGCCGTAGCCCTCGTGTCCCTTTATATCATCTGATAAATTTGAAGACTTGGGTCAAATGTTGTGTAGATGTCTCAGCTCGATTTGGTCGTCCCAGTGGAGCCATTGATGCGTGTTTGTGAGAGGGGGATGCAAGCAATGTAAACTGCCTCCATTCAGAAATACAAATAGTTCGAAGAAAACAGTAAAAAATTGACAATTTTTTTTTTCAGCTGCCACATATGCCTCATATAAGTGAATGCCTGATGAAGAGAAGTTTAAAACCCACTGATCTAAGAGACATGACTATCGGGCAGCTACAAGTGATAGTCAATGATCTCCACTCACAGATAGAAAGTAAGTGATACTTCTTTAATTATTCTTTGGTACATCACATTTAATTAAGAAATGTTGGTAAATGTGTGATAACGCAAGTAGATGGAAGAGGCACGCCACGGTAGTTGGAGGTGGTGTTCTCTCCAGATTTGGCTCCTTTGGCTTTTTTCTTGCCTTTTTTTTTTTTTTTTCAGTTTCTTCTAAAGCACTTGCTTGGCTCTGTACAAGAGGAGGGTTGTAGCATTGTACCAGCACCTAACACCCCACTTGTAACTCAAAACCTGGTTGGGTTAAAATAGTCTTGGGAAGTTTGCCTGTCCTGGAAGCACCTGCCATTGGTGGCTTTCTGGCTGTGTCTTTACGTGACGCTACGCCATCATCCAAGCCATCCATGAGTGGAGAAACTCTCCAGTTTAGCAAACATCCAGGGTAAATCCACCCTTGCCGTGCTTCAGCATGTCTCAGGTCCTTGCGTTTGCCCGCACGGACAGTGCCCCACCGCCTCATCTCTCTCTTTGCTCTTTCCAAAAAGAGCCAGGGTGTTTTTTTTCCTCTCCCCAAAGGATCTCCATCTTCCAATTAATTAAATAATCAACCTTTTTGGGGTTGGTGCCTGTAGGTCCAAAAAACCGGTTGGTTGGGGGCTGCTGTGATGCTCCTTCCCCACTCGCTTGTGAATTAGCCTCACGTTAGAAAGCACCCAAGTCTGGGCGCATGAGCGTTAATGTCATTAACACCGAGCTTGCTGCCCGAACTGAAGAGGTGTTAAACCAATGTAGCTGTAATTAAGCAGCCTAGCGACCGGCTCTGGCAGTGAGTGATGGGCGAGGACAGCCTTCAGTGGAGCCCATGCCAGCAGGTTAATTTTTCACATGATCCTCTTCATTTTCTTCTTCCTCGCTTTTTGACACAACCCCGAGCAAGAATCCAACGTCATGAACAAGCACTGAGAAATTCATCTTTATTTTTGCTGCTGCACTGAGCTATTTTACGGGAGGGACCGTTGGCTTGCAGTGACATGGAAGGGGGTTATGGGTTATCCTAGAAAAAGGATAAAAATCTCTGTGCCTCTCCCCGGCATCGTGTGCGTCCTCCGGGGAGGTCCCTCCTGGTTCTCCGCACCAGCTTACGTGTAATGTGGTGGGAAGGATGACACAGCAGGTCCCAAACTGGGGTTCCCGGGGACACCACAAACTCACCCCCTTTCTCCCCGGTGCCAGGCTTGAACGAGGAGCTGGTGCAGCTGCTGCTCATTCGGGACGAGCTGCACACGGAGCAGGACGCCATGCTGGTGGACATCGAGGATCTGACCAGGTGAAGGAGGCTCCTCGGGGTACTTCTCTCTCCTCGCAGCTTCCAGCTTGCCATTGGCAGAGTGTAGGGGCTTTGTTTTAGCAGAATTTCAGTACTAAAGCTTTTGCCATCAAAGGTAAGGGCTGAGCAGGACGCTGCTCTCTCCTCCGTAACAAGAAATCAAGGCACTTGGGTTCTGGAGATCATCGGCAGGTTTCAGGAGCTCCCCAAACACAGGTGTTGGTGCATGCTCTTGAGTTAGCGTTTCCCTTTCCAAAGCCTGAACAGATCCCGGGCAGGAGTGCTGCTGCAAACCCTCAGTGCACCCCAAGGGAAGTCCAAGCGTGTCCCCGTGTCACCCCACCCCTTTGGCTGGGGTGAGCTGCAGCGCATCGGCCTCCACCGTCAGAAGGACTTGACCGAAGGAGAATTTCTGAGTCTTTTCAATATTAAGGTTCAATAGCTGATTAAATGGGAAGCCTTGCAGAATATAGGCAGATTTCCATCAGCACTCCATCTCCCAGGCAGCAAGAGGCATTTTCCGTCGAGATAACTAGGGATGCGTTGCAGAAACACTAGTTTTAAAAACTTTGGCCAAAAAAAAAGGCTGAAAAAGATGATACTAGTTATTGTCAGCACGCAAGGACCATGGTTTCAGAACTGAAGCATTAAGCTTGCAAAAAAAACGTGGCCTAAGTTTGTTCCTATTTTAAAACATTGTGGGGCTGCAGAGCAGCTGGTTGAGATTTGACAGTGCGCTGCCTGGAAAAAGTTTCTGCCAGCTGGGGCGGCCGTCAGGGGTTTGGGGAGCGATTCTCGTGCTGCCCAGGGGACGGTGGCCCAAGGGACAAGCAGGCAGGTTGTCACTTTTGAGTCTTAATGAAGAGCAAGTGGAGAAGGGCTGGGGGGGGGAGGATCTGGAGCCGGGTCGGTAGGCAGATGCCAGCGCCGCCTCGCATCTGTTCTGCTGCTGCGCTTCGGGAAACACTTTCCTTCCTAAAATGCAATTAATGGCAGTTTAGCAAATGAAAATTATTCGGATGCTGGACAGCATGGCGGGGGCTTTGGTGCGGTGGGGGGCGCGGGGGCACCAGCTCTCCCATCCTGGCTCTGGGGGATGAACGTGCTGAACACCCCTGCAGGAAGGGAGGAAAAAAACCCCAGCTGACCCCAAACCTCTCCGGAGAAGGGTTTCCTCTCCCCTTTGCCCACCTCCTGGTCACCTCCTGCTGGGAAGGAACCTGGGCAGAGACCACACATTCCTTGCCCAGTGCTTTGGTTTGTTTTTTTTTTTTTCCTTGGGAAACTGTTATTTTCGGTTCGCTGCCAGAGCGGTGCGGACGCCGGCTTGGCGCGCAGCCCCGCGTGTGGTTTGGGTTCCCACCTGCCCTCAGCGCAGCAAATAACGCAGCTTCTCTCCTCCCTCCCCGGCACCAGACACGCCGAAAGTCAGCAGAAGCACATGGCAGAGAAGATGCCAGCAAAATGAACCCCGGAGCCCCAGGAGCAGAGCTCGAGCGAGACTTCATTTTGCTTCTGTGTGTGTCCAAGCGCTGATGTCCACGGTGGCGCACGAGAAAAACCAGTGTTAGTCATTGACCATGTCTGAAGCTTTATGTCCGGTGATTGGCCTCTGCTTCTTAATTTATTTTAATTTTTTTACTTGTGCCACTAAGTATCAGGCATTTTAATAATATTATTACAAAATATGTACAGTACTTATAACATTATAAATCATGGGTGAGAAGAGAGGGTAGTTTAACTTTATTTTTGTTTGTTTAGAGATTTTGAGTTGAACGATATTTTACCATTGACTACTTTTTTATTCTTCACTGTAGTTTTAAAATAAAGAAACTGTACTTGACGGTGCTATACAAGTCAAAAAAAAAACAAAAAAACATGCCTGCCTCGTAGTGAAGTTGTAGCTTTCAGTAATATGTATATTTTAATCAGTTTTCAACATTTTGTGAATGTTGACTACCTGACATTCATTTTTAGATGTGCTATTAACATTCGGTTGGATTCAGAGAGTTACCTTGAAAGTTTTATGTACAAATATGTAAAATAAAAATTTAAAAAATTGTTTCATATGATACGTCTTTTTGTTGCCTAGTGGTGACGCACCCGTAATGTATTCCTCGAACTAAATGTGCAATTCCTAATTTGTCATCACCAGAAAGAGCCTTTTCTTCTTTTTTTTTTTTTTTTTTTTTTTTTGCTGATCACATGAAATTATTCTAGAGCGAAGACAGGATTTTTGTAGAGTTATTTATTTGTAAGTTCATAACGTTATGTATGACATAGAAGAATCTCTTAAATCCATAATAACATTCACTGGGCCCTAATATTGTGACTATTGTTAGCAGGCACATGCCATAGGTGTTTTTTTTTATATATTTTTATTGTCTGGGCTAAATATTTAAATGACTCACCGATGACAGAAATAAAAAAAAAATCTATGTTAAAAATCTAAGCAGCATATTAAATGTATTATATATGGTAATTACTCACCTCTCTGCCTTTGGGCTGGGCTCCCCGTTAGTGGCCAAGCGCTGGACGTGCCTCCTCTGTGCGTACCGGAGGAGGGACGCTGGGAGACTAATAGGTCTGTCTCCATCCCTCATTTATTTGATTTAATGCTGAAACAGCTCGGCCATCCCCTTCCTTAAGGCTGCCCGGCCCGTAGCCAGCAGCAGACACGCGTGTCGCACGCACCAGATTTTTACATTTTAATTCTTTTGTCCTCGGGGGGGCAAATTAATCTTAGCGGCGGGTCTGGCTAATGACTTATTCAGGGTGTTTTCAGAAAAGCGTGAGCTGCATTAAAATTTCATCCCCCCCGCCAAGAATGTATTTTATAAAATTACTTTCCCCCCCCTTTTCCACAGAAAAGTGCAGGTTATGGAAGCACCAGCCCTTGGAGGGGTTTGGTGGGGCTGGGCAGAGTGGGGTTGGTTTAACTTAGGGTTGTTTTTCCTTTCCCAGACGTTGCTCCAGGATTTTCCAGTGGACAGTCCCTGTCCCACATCCCCCATGGAGGGGGGGGCGGGGAACATGTCCCTGCAGAGTAGTGTCCCCAAGCAGGGTGCTGTGCCTGCAGAAAGGTACTGGGACAGGTTAGGCTGGAGAGCCTTTGTCTGCAGAGCACGGATGATGTAAACTTTTATTTTGTTGTTTGTTTTTTTTTTTTAAATCTATGCAGAAAAAAATATTTATATTGGGGGTATCAGTTTCTCTGTAGCTCTTGTTGGCTTGATGCTGTTGCCTGCACGTGGGGAGACCTGCTGGGTTTTATATTTCTGCTCTGTACAGGGCCGCGTTTGTTGGTGCCTCCACCAGAAGAGGCTGTTTGGGTATCGGTGAGGAGGTGTTCGCCACTGGATTTAAAGCATGAACAGCAAAAGCCCCAAATACAAAAAGTTTTCTCTCAGCTTTCATAACAAAAAGAAAAAGATAAAAAAAAAAAAAAGCAAGAAAGCCCCCAGGTGTTCTGGGGGAACCCTGCATCATCCCCGCCAGGGTCCAGCTTGTGGGGCACCGGGGTGAAGCAGCCTGGTCAGGCTGGAGTTTCGTTCCCTTGCTAAGTGCCTTTAACCTGCTGAAGAGAACTAGTTATTCTGGTCACCTACCACTGGTTTTCCCCCTTACATCCTTAGAGGGGGTTGGCTTTTTTTTAAGAAAAAGCGTGTTTCTGGGTAACTGCATCTCCTTGGCTCTGTGTCCCGTGTACCGAGGTGTCGTGCTGGTATGTATGATGGCAATGCTGTGCAATTAATGGATTAAATTACATTTTTAAAAGAGAAAAGTGTTGCGTGGTTTCTGAGCTGCTGCTGCCGCCTTATCATGGGCAATTACGTATTTTGACACCTATTTCTGGGTATCGGTCCCACTTTTTGAATCTCTTGTATCCTCCCGGGTGGGTTTTTGGTTCCTCCTCCCCTGGTCTCAGCCAGCAAACATAAACCCATCTCGCACGGGGTGTCAAACTTTGCCATGTTCTCATGAAAAAGTACCTACTAGAAGTCACCAAAAATACCTGATGCAGTCAGCAAAAACACCTACCTGCCCTGCATACGCTCAGGGCGATGGGGCTGGGGGGTCCCACAAGCTCCCCGCATTGCCCCCAGCTAATTCTGTATGGCCATGGGGAACAGCTGCCTTGGGGAGAATTTGGGGGGTTTGTTCTGCCTTGATATTTTTTTATTTTTTTTACCATTTTGTCTTCCATGAATGGGGCATTTACACGGTTCCACTTGGGACTCCCAGTCTCGGTACTGTAACCCCGGAGCCGAATTCCCCGGAGCCTCAGAGGGCTCCCAGTCAGGAGGTTGCGTTTGTGGGGTGAGCTCAGCAGGGAACAGTAAAAAACAGCTTCTGTTATGACAGCAGCCACTGCTCCACCACGGGGACCGGGGTTTAACATCCCACCATTGGGTGCCTGAAGCAGCCCCTGTGCCCCTCGCCCACAATTCGGGGGGGGGAGTGTTTATTTGGAGAAAACATTCAAATGACTTAAAAGCCAAAGGAAAGTGTAGGGGTGTGTTGGACAGGCTGGGGCAGACAAATGTCCACCAGCTAATTCCTAGCATGAGGAGGAAAAAAAAAAAAAAAAATCTCTGTCTGGCACAGCCAGGTGGGGCCAAGGGAGCTGTGTGTGAAAGCTCTATGAGCCCCTTTTCCCTGCCTGGGGGTGCCAAAACCATGGGGCACAGCAGCCTGCACATTGCCCGTGGCAAGTCCTTGCCCAGTAGAGCACTGGGCACTGCTGTGCCTTAAGGGCCAGGCACGAAGCTTTGGGCAGCTTGGAAACAATTTTGGACCTTATTTTTTCTGCCACTACAACTTTTTTTTTTTTTTTTTTTTTTTTTATGCTGCCTGAATAGCTGGGCAGGGATCTGCTCCTCAGCGTGCCATGTCCTGTCCCCTTCATGCTCCCTCCAACACCCCTTTCCTCAGCCATCCAGGGAAAAGTCTGCTTGCTTTTCCTTGCCTGCCTTCAGCTGGTCTCACAACACAACATTTCTTAATTTTTTTAAGGCTGTCTCTTGGTCCTAAACTCACCTGTGCTTGAAAAGCAGAAAAAAATTGCATTTAAAAAGAAAATAAGTAAAAAATCATTCTGATAACGTCCCGCTGATGCTAAAGCAGCCCTTAGGAACAGAGATGTGCTTTATGAGCCAGAAGCTTCCCCTCAAACAAACCTTGCAGCTTGGGTGCCTTTTTTATTTTGTTCTCCCTCTTCTCGTGAAGCTCCCTGTCACGGAAGAGCAGCGCGTCGCCTCGCTGGGCACACGGGGACTGTGGGCGTGCAAAATCACAGCAGAGCAGACACGAGGGCCTTTTACTTTTCTTATTTCATCCTGCAAAGAAGCACTAACGAATTTAGGAGAATTAAGTCACGTGTGGACCCAGAGGAGAAGGGTTGGAGTGGTGGGACTGCAAAGTCCTGCAAGGCCCCTGCTCCGAGGACGCTCCCCATGGCTTTGCACTGCTGCTGGGGAAGGCAATTAGCACAAATGAGCTGGTTTTTACCTCTTTAAAGCAAATCCATCCTTGCACAGGCCCGAGGGAGGCTCAGCTTTGCAGAGGGCATCCCCAAGGAAAAGCCATCGGAGGTGGGGAGGTCTTACAGTCCGCACTCGTTTCCCTGCAGAAGCCTACGCCCGCTCCCGGGGAGTTTCTCTTCCTTCTTATTGTAAAACAAAGTGAAACCTCTGTGGTGTGGGGGACCCTTTGTCCTCTGCCCGCTGTCCCGGGGGTGACTGGGGACATCCTGCACACCGGGCAGGGCCACCAGCAGCAAAGCCACCGGTGCTTTGCCAGCAAATACCAAGTCTTGTGTTCAAGCAGCTTTTCTTGGTCACCCGGTAGGACGAGACCTTCCCTCCTCACTCACATCAGCCATCGGCTCCTCCTTAGTGGTAAAATGTCATTTAAAATTTTTCAAGTCTCTTGACTGCGGGAAGAAGAACGGATCTATGTGAAATAAATGATCCCAGTTCTCCGCGGTGCAAAAGGCTCAAGACCCATCACAGACTCTTCCAGTTCATGACTTTTAAGTATTTGATGCCAAATTGGGATGGTGGTTCTACTGCCGATGAAAGAACCTGGCCACCACGCTGGTCACCGCCGTACCCACCTCCCCCTCGGCCTCCTAATGACAGCAGGGGGAAGAAACACGCCTTCAAAAGAAAAGTGAAATAGCAACGGCAAGATGAAAAAAGGGAATTGCGGGGTTTTGCGTGGATCTCCTGAGCTGACAGCCTGCGGGCAGCGGCCGTTTCCAGGCAGCCAGCTCAGCACTCCTCCACTGCCCGTCACTGAAACTGCCGGCAGAGCTGGGGGAGGAGGAATTTTTGCAGGTGTCGTTGGCCTCAGTGCAGCCTGGAGGTAGGGCTGACACCCGAGGAAGCCCTTAGTTAGGACAACTCCCATCCGATGCTCAAGGAGTTTTGCCGGAGTAACAGGCACCCACGGCTGCAGGGGGCTGACCCTCCAAAGCAAGAATAAAAGCTGCCGAGGAGCTCTGCAGATCTCTGCAGCTCCAAAACCACCCGGAGAGCTGTTTTGGGGGAGTGGGGAAGGGATCCACTGTCTGCCCACTCATCCTGCACCCTCCCAACTGCCTCAGAACATGAGGTTTGGGGAGAAAAGGGACACCAGCCCCTACGTCCCTGCACAGATCAAGAGTCTGCAGCAGACGTTTTGGGTTCGAAGATGTGACTAGAGGTTGTGTGGGCATATTTGGGCTGCCCTTGAGTTCAACTACACGCCAGCAGCCTGGAGCTTAGCACAGCCCCACTTGGAAGTGTCCCAGGTCTCCTGCAGGAGACTGCAGGGTCAGCACCTGGATGTAGCCATGAGGAAAATGAAGCCTCTGGGCTCTCGGTGCCTTCGCCAAGGGAAGGACAGCACCTGGAAGTGCTGCAGGCTCCAGCCGCGTGGCAAACACGGGGTTTCTTCTTCCCCAGGTTTGAACTTGCTTCCTGTAGTGAACACCCAGCTCCAGCTTGGGGAAACAAGACGGACTTTGTCAGAGTACCCAACGCACGTGCTTTCAAGTGACCCCATTTAAGTTTCTGTACTCTGTAGAAAAATCCAATATTGCGATTTTTTTCTTAATCAAAATCACGAGCAGAGACCTGGGGTCAGCTGAAGACTCACTTATGTTTTCTCCTCTCCGTCCTATGTCTCCTCTGTGCTAGGGGTTATCAGCTGATTGCCGACCACGGGCTGCGCTGGTGCTGGGACGTGCAGAGCAGTCGATGCTGCCTTATCCTGGGAGAAAAACATCCCATGTGAAAGCACCAGCTCTTCTGCTGCTCCTCGCCCAGCCTTGCAGCACCCAGTCACCACCACTCCTCCTCATCCAAGCCCCTTTCTCCCCAGGAGCTGCTCTACCTCATACCCCAGCTGGCTCCCTGTCCCCAGCGCACCAATTCCCCTCTGCAGCACGTCTTTAGGGTGACGTCCCAGCCCGCCATGGGACGCAGGGCTGCCCCACACTTACGTGCTCAGCAAGTTTCTTTACGAGCAGCAGCTTCCTCTTCCAGCAGAGGAAGACCCAGATGTCAGCCGACATGCAGCGAGCGGCTGGGTGACTGACCCCTGCGGTGCCCTCGAGGTCTTTATGGCTCCACAAATATGTGAAGAGCAGCTTCTTTGGGCTAAGTCTTTGCTTCCCGCCAGTGAGGGCTTCGTAGCTTGTATTGCCCAGCCAGCTGTGTGTAGGAGGTGACTACGGTGGCTACAGTGAGAGGCAACAGAGGTTCAAATACCAATGAGACGACCTCGAGGGAAGCAATCGTGTCACATCTGAGGAAAAAAAAAAAAAAAAATCCAACATGTACAGACATAGCTCACAGCTCTCCAAATGACTCTTTCTAATTTCAGAGGGCTGCTCCTCCTGGGTGTTGGGTACCCGGGGGTTGGTGGAGAGGGCTCGGTACCACCCTGCCTCAGCACCCCGTTAACGGGGCCGTGATGAACGAAGCCTCATCGCTGCCGTGGTGGAGCCAAACACAACCGGGGGAGCAACCCGGGGCAGCGGCTCTCCCTTGACTTGCAGTGAAGCAGCAGATCCTCACAAAGGGCTGCTGGTGACGTGTCAGGGCATCCCCATCCCCACTGTCACCCACAGCTGGCTCCCACCCCCCCCATGACAACAGGCACCAACTGCAGCACAACCAGTGTCCCCGCATCACCCCGGGACGCTCATCCCTCGGCTCTGCGGGGGAGCCAGAGCCACCACACCCTGCTGAGCTCATGGCAATGGGGGATTATTCTGCCACACAGGACAGCACGGCTCAACCTGCCCCACGGATCTCACTGGGGCTTTTTTTTTTATTTTTTTCCTTTCTTCACACTGGGAAAAAATGCAGCTCTCCACGTTCGCTGGCAGGAGTGGGCCAACGTGCGCAGGTTCCCGGGACCTGATGGGGACTCTGCTCCTCTGAGCAATCACACAGACTGTGGAAAAAGAGCTGGAAATAGCTTACATATAATTATACAGCTTCCAGGAGTTTCAATGCGATGTTTCTTTCATGCTTGAATCAAACCGAATCCAGAAATTTCTGTTTTGATTATTTTGAAATTAAAACACAACGTGTCACACCTACATTAAAAATAATTTCAAAATTAAATCTGTTAAAATCTTCCCTCTGTGACCAGTATTTTTCTTGCCACTGACCGCTAGCAGAGCTGCAGCCCCAGCCCAGCCTCATACACGGCACAAACACTGCGCAACCATCCGGGTTGGAAAAGACCTTGGAGATCACCTAGTCCAACCAAATGCTGCGAGGGGGTCTGAGCATGCAAAGGCAGATTAAATCAGCTTCAACGAGTCGTTAACCCACCTGCAGAGCCCCGCATTCCTATTTAATAGAAGCCAACTAAAGAAAACCACGCGGGGCTGCAGTCCCACAGGCTGAGTTTGCCATCCCCAGAGCTGCTGATGCTCCAGGGGAAAGCAAAGCCCAGCTTTGGCCTAGCCTTGCCCTCGCCTAGCTGATCCCTCCCAGGAGAGGTGATTTCACACGGAGAAAAACCGAGCTAATGTGGATTTGTAACGCTTCTCGTGCAGAACAACCTGAAGCGCAAAAAAAAAAAAAAAAAAAATTTTTTTTTAAGAGCTGGAGTTGAAACACAAGCTGTGACCGTGCTGTGTGTTACTCTTAGAATTCAATAAGGTGTTTTGCTTGTGGCTTAGTCTAACCCAGAGACGGTGGCTCTGCCACAAGCACAGACCCGCGTCCCCGGCACGGGCAGGCTCCCCCAACCCGCAGCAGATTAAAACTGGGCCAAGGATAGATGCACGTCCCAGCTGGATGTGCAGGTCAACAACTGACGCAGACATTAAAAGCTTTCACCTGGCATTTGTTAGGATTCAAACCAGTTTCATGCTTCCCCATCTTCACGGGCAAAGCCCTGCTTCCCTGTGCACCGGGAGAGCTGTCACCCCGTGCCCTGAACCCCTGATTCGGGCGTTTTTACACTCCTTCCCCCTTTCATGTCTGAGGATGAGGCAATCTGTCATTTGAAATCAGAGCAGCTGCTGCAAATATCTTTTATATCCTCATTCAGGATGATTTTAAGAGCTGATGGCTGCTTTGCTTTGTGAGGTGGTTGCCTGCCCCACAGATTCACTGAACAGAGCAAGCAAGCTTGTCCATGTACTCCCATAATGTTCCTTCAGGAATTACTGCTCAAACAGAGCCTCGTTTATCCTGAGAACCTACAAACCTACCTGAGCTGGGTGCTCTCTCTTCCTCAAGGCTCTATTTTTTTCAGCCCCTGTTACGAGCTGGGCCTGCCCTTATCCGACCTGCTGACAATTAATCTCCAAGAACAGCTAAAACATGAATAACCTTTGATCTAACGAGGATAATTCAGATTCGGTGTATTTGTGGTACTGAAAATTGGAAGTTGACTGGCACCTGCTCACACATGCTATCTGTACTTTACTCACACTCTACTCAGATGTGTAAATCTTACTCCTGCAAGCACGTTGGCTGCTCCGGTCTCCCCTAGTGACCATTGCAGGGTCAGGGCCATCCCTGCCTGTCTCTCCAGCATGTTCTGCCTGCGCTGGCAAAAAAAATACCACCCTGTGATGCCAAAAGTGCTGGGTTTCACCCAGGAAGGGACATTATTTTCTTCTAATAATTGCTTTAGTGGAAAGGTCTGGTCGCTTTCTCACCTTTCGCACAAAGTTCTAGGGGCTATAATCTCCTTTCAGTCAGGACTTCATTTCAATGAGATTGATTTTTTCTCTTTTTTTTTTTTTTTATGCTCACCAAGGTATTAAAAATAAATAAATTAAACGTGTCCCTGTATAGAAACTCTCTGCCAGGAGAGTGCTCGACCTGGAGGAGGAACAGCATGGGGAGCCAGCGATGCGCTGCCCCCAACCCATGCAGCACATCGCAGCCTGCCTCACCCCAGCACCATACCCTGGGCAGAGCATTCCCCGGGGTGATGGGTGCTCACATAACTCCCACCAAATATGTGTTCTTGGGGCTGGAGCTCGGTTCCCTCTCCCGTCGGGGAATACTCTACCCATGAGTCACGTCAGCGGCTTGCCGGGTATCCCCACGCACTCGAGACTCTGACCTCTGCATCTCGGTAAGTAATCTCGGGTATTGAGTCATCAGCTGGCTCAGCACCGAAAGTGTGAACTCTTTCCCAACCCTCCTTGGTCAAGATGGAGCGAAGGGTTGAATCCATCATTAATGTGATTCAGACAATCATGCTGTGTCAAAGAAACACACACACAAAAAAAAAAAACATCTCGCTGATGCATCTCCTGGTCAAGCAATATCAATGCTCCTTTTTTTTTTCCTGGGTGCGAGACCAGGGCCAGATAAAACGGCGAACACAAAACCAGCAAGAAGAGAGCACAAGTACAGTCACCCCTTTCTCCCATCACAGCTGTCCTCCGGCCTGCCCCCGCAGGCCAGAGCCCCCACAAGCTCTTGCACCCGCAGACAGGAGATAAAAGGGACGGATGAGAGACCAGAAAAAAAAAAAAAAAAAAAAAAAAAAAAAAACCGCCGAAAGTGGCGGCAGCCCGGCAGCGCTGCGTTCAGCCAGCGCTCCCTCCCCGCACACGCAACCACAGACACCGCCAGCGTCCCTCACATTACTCACCCGGGTGTTTTCAGGGCTGGGGGAGAAGACAAGGAGACAAAGGAGAACCCCACGGGAGTCCTGGGGTTCCAGGGGGACGGGTCGGACAGGCACCACTGCTTCGTATTCTGACGGAGGGACCCGCCTCTCCCTGCCCACCTGCACTGCAGCACCGTCCAGCCCCACAAAGGTCCTCGCAGGAGGTTTTTTTTTTCTGTTTCTAAACAAAACCCACAGGGTTTTTTATTTCTAAACAAAAGCCACAGAGTGGGCGGAGAGATTTACCCACATCACCAGCACTGTTTCTGTGGGTAAGGGTTCCTGGAGCTTGCCCACATCTCTTATTTTCTATAACGCATCATGAGCAAAGTAACGGGAATCCCTTAGAGTAACGACGCCGAGGTTGGTGTTAATGTTCCTTTTAACAGAAAGCTTTGCAGTTAGCCCTGCAGTAAACCCAGTCAGTTGATGATGGGGGGGGAAAAAAAAGCAGCTCCTTAGATCCAATTGAAAAAACTGCTGAAAAAAAGTTCGGGATAAAAAAGTTCGTGCCTTATCTCAGACAAAACCTTCCTTTCCTGTCATGCTCTTCAAACAATCCTCTCAATTCGGTGTGAGAAGTTACCTGCCCAAAACATAACTATTCAAAACACCTGGGTGCTTTTTAGGGAGCTGCAGCACCTATCCAGCAGCCACCTCCAGCTCCATCCCTTTCCCAGAAAAGTCTGGCATGTGGGTTTGAGCTTTGGAGTGGAGCCTGCAAACAGCACCTGCTGCATGCGAGGGTCCCCAGTCTGGCTGGCCCCCTAAGGACACAAAGCTGCCAGGCTCTCACCTGAAAGCCAACGGCCAGAAACCAGCAGAGAAGAGCAGAGATGCTGCAGCACACGGCAGGGTCCCGGGGAACAAACCACACGCGCTCCAGCGAGGGCTGGAAGAGCGAAGAGCGGGGAGATGCAGGTGATTAACAACCCAGGGTCTTACAGGTTTCAGTGCGCTGACTGCGGGTTCAGGAAAGTCACTTTGACTCAGAAATAACTTTTCATTACGTGACTTTAGCTTTGAAATCAATGAAACTTCACCTCATCCTTAGGGTTACGTATTTCAGGGGATTCCTCAATGAATAAGCACCAAGAGTCCAAAAAACACCAGGCAAGTTTCAAGTCTTTGCTTTCCCGTTTTATGGAGCCATCAACATAAATCAGAAGCAACACTTCTGTCAGTGAGGCTATTTTGGTGAGATATCTGACCCCAGATCTTCCGAAAAAATCATCCCGGAGCAAAACAAATGATCCTCGATCGATCCTCCGTATGTTCTCAGAGTGGGAAATAGTATCGAAATTAATTTACTGAGGCGTTCAGAAATCTTATTCCACAAAATGTTTCGAGGTTCTTTTTATGTAGCTACTATCTGCAATTAACTGTCAGCCGAGCTGTGATATAATCATACTGCAGCTTTAATTTATGTATGTGTATAATTATTGCATAATTATATATATATAAAATTATTGTGTAATTATATACAATTATAATTACGGGGGATAGGACTCTCCTACAAATAACCCATCTCTTCCCGTTGAAGATACAAGTTGCTACGTGACCTTCACAAGGGGTTTGGGAGCTGGCCTGCTAATAAAGAAAATTCATATAATTTGCCAGGTTCCAGGAGAAGGAACACCACACAGCTGGAGTCCCAGTTAGGAAATATCCCCGACCACCATCCCACCACAGCACGCAGCTGACGGCGGCGAGGACGGCGCGCGGCGCTCACAGCTCTTCATACGCGGCTTACTCTGCAAGTGAGGTTGGGTCTTCATTCAGCTTGGGCTTTGAGAGCAACCATGAAGCCAAAAAAGTAAATCGCTGTTTGCAAGAGGGGAGAGAAGGCAAGCCAAGACTGAAACAAAAGCTGAGCCCCGCAGCGCCTCGTGTCAGCAGACATTTCCAGGAATCTCCCAGTTTTTTAGAACAGCGTGGCTGGAGAAGATCCTATTTCTCATCACTCGCAGACACAATCCTCAAAACTGAACTGAACTGGGGGGGTTTGGGTTTTTTTCTAATTGGGTTTCTTTATTATTATAGTTTTTCCTTTCTTTTTTAAACCGGATTTTTATGTATTGTTTTGGTTGAGTGCAGCGTAGCCACAAGCACGGTTTCACCCAGCACTGACCACAATAACATTACAGTTTTATAGCGAGGCCCAGAACGGTTCTTCTTGGTTTTCTCTGGAAGTTAATTTCAGCGAGAGAAATTTATGGTTGAAATAAAGCCAGTGGAATTACATTTTCTCATGTAAAATCATACAACTTCCAACAGTTTTAAGAGACTATGGCAAGCAATTACTGCGCTGTATTTCTAAATGTGTACACGATAGATTCCCATCTTTGTTGCTTTAAAAACAAACACATCGCTCCAGCTGTATAACCCTGGGTTTGCCTGATGAGATGGGTACCTGAGATCAAGACACCATATGCAATAAAAAGGGCGTGGATTTTTCAATTTCAAAAGAATTCGCTTTTCACTTTTGGATGCTGCTGACATAGAAAATATTATTACATCTAACCCCCACAAATAACATTAATATTAGCTGTTATATATAACCACCAGGGAACATCAAAGCCTAGCCCAGAGATCTACAATTATTCCCATTTTGCTGTAAAACAGAAAGGCTGGACCAGCCCAGGGGCTGCAGCACCAGCCCCGATGCTGAGGTGTGTTGCCTCCTCCTCCTCCAGGCTGGCCACTGGCTCCCACTTGCCCTGAGTGAAGCAGACAGACACAGAACTGCTCGAGAGCAGGCCATGCACAAGAATTATCAAGATGCTTCATTCAGAGTCAAGACTGGTCCAATATAGGACGTTTTGAGGTGAAGGAGGCAGAGGGATGAGGCTAGGAATGAAAAACAGATCTAACGTCTGCCTCAAATAAACGTATCGTTCAGACTTTATTACCTCATTGCTAGGACTCAGCAAAGTTAATATCTTACGCATCACTTTGAGACAAATCTCAGCCTCACACAGGAGTACACTCGCCTTCAGTCCGTGGCCGAAACGCAAGTGCAGTCAGGCAGAGAATAGAGGAACGGTACAAATCGGGCAAAAGAAGCAGAAACCGGCCAGGCTCAACTCAGCACCCATCCAAACCAGCACAACCACCACGTTACCGTCGTGTTCCGCGTCTGCTCCGGGCTGTCTCACCACAGCAGCTGTGGGATTGCTGCTCCGGGGGGGGTTTGGGTCTGCTCTGGGGTGTGAGTACAAGCGCTGGAGCTCTGGCGGGTCTCTGGGTTTATCAGCTCTGATCCTTCAGTAGGTGCACGAGGCTCTTCAGCAAGCCGGCACGGCCAAGACTTTGGTTTCAGATGCTATCAGGAAAATAAATGAGTAGTGACAATGGTATCATTCAGGCATGGCTTTCATAGATAATTGCGGAAAACCTTCCTATTTGTAAAACAGCAAATGTAGCAACATTCAATTATTACTTCTACCACCGAAAAAAGAAAAATTCACTCACTCCTATTAGGCTATATTCCATTTTATCTGCACATTAAACCAATTAAACCTGCCCTGTGTCTCAGTAACACACTCCCTAACCCGTGGGCTGAGGAAGCACTGACCGGGAAAGTGTTTCAGCTTTGGAAACACCTGCGCAATTCCAGGACATTCCTTGTGAATTATCTGTGAGTCATATAGCGTAAGAGACAGAAATTACATGAAGAAAGCAAAATATAGCTCAAAGTTTTACGTAAAAGGGGATCAGAATTGTCTGCTTGTGTGGCTGCCCTACCTGTGTAGCCTGTATTTTTTAGTCCCCCATGGCTGGGGGGCTGCTGGGGGGCCCTTTGGAGGTGAAGTCCTCTGGGAAGATGCTCTTGCCATCCCAGCCAGCTTTCAGCAGCACATATTGGACACCCTTGAGCCCCAGTTTTTGCCCCACCTCGAGAAATCCCTCGAGGAGCTGGGACTCTGCAGGAGGAAGGAAACTCCTCTCTCCTGGCCCTGTCTGACTGTCAAGAGGAGGCATCTCCACACACAGCTTCCCCCCCTAGATAATTGTTCTGTGCACAATGCCCATTCAACTGCAGCTGCATTCAGAGACCTCTGAAGGTATTTGAGCTAAATATTCTTCCTTTCAGACAAAGAACCCTGACTAACATCCCAGTACATGCCTAAGTGGAGCACAGGAAAGCCATAAACTAGAAGCTTTTGTCTAAATTGTGCACCAGTGCCCCACCTGAGGAGAAACCTCATGCCCTGCTGCTGAGGGCAACGCTAGGACTGAGAATTGGGCAAAGAAACCTGGAAAGCCGAACTCACGCCTTTTGAAGAACACACATGCAAGTATATAATCAAAGAGCTCTTTCACTTCTGTGTCAGGGAAAAAAAAAAAAAAAAAAAAAAAAAAAAAAAACACAAGATGAAAACCAGAGCCCACAGCCTAATGATGAGTGCAAAAATGGAAAACACACAGTGAAACTGGAAAATTAGGCAGCGCTGGTATTCTAGCAAAGAAAGACTCTAGACAGACCACAACCTTCTTATAGGAAACAAGATGTCAAATAAAATAAAAAGAATCTGAAAATGCAATATAAAACTCTCTCGATTCATCCTGCTCCCTTCCAAGTCCATAGCAAAATTCCCATTGACTTCATGGCAGACCCGACAGATAGAAAATTTAGCCTGGCCAAAAGGCTGGAGAGAGAATGGCCATGTGCAATATGAACTCCTACTGAAATATATTTGGCAATGATACCAAGTGTATCAGCAAAAAGCAAATTTCCAGACAGGTTTTCATGGACATTCATTAAGGACATCTCACCATTTGGGACCAGTATTGGGGCTGACACCGTTTAACGTCTCTGTTGGTGACACGGACAGGGGGGTCGCCGCTCCCCCGGCACGTGCAGCGAGGACACGGAGCTGTGCGGGGCGGCCAAGGGCGAGGGCCTGGCCTCGGGTCGGGGCAATCCCAAACACAAACCTCCTGACACATGGGTGGGGGCAAGGAGGGGGGGGAGAGCGGCCCCGAGGAGAGGGACTTGGGGTGGGTTTGGGGGTGGAAAACTGCCTGTGAGGCAGCAGCGTGCACTCGCAGCCCAGCAAGGCCCCGTGTGCTGGGCTGCACCCAGAGCAGGGGGGGCACAGGGCCAGGGGGG